CGTGACATAAAATTCACTACCAAATCTTAAAAGAAACATTTTCCGTTTAATAATTAGTAGCCAGAGGCCGGCCCGTGGCTCACTCGGGAGAGTGTGGGGCTGATAACACTAAGGCCACGGGTTCGGATCCTATATAGGGATGGCCGGTTTGCTCACTGGCTGAGGTTGGTGCTGACAACAACAAGCCAAGGGTTGAGATCCCCTTACCGGTCATCTTTAAAAAAAAAAAAATAATAATAATAATTAGTAGCCACACTTGATTTAGGAGGTAAATTCATTTCTATAAAATGTTTTAAAGGAATATATTAGTATATGGTGATTCCCATTTTTTTCCTGGCTAAATATTTCCTTTATTTCTTACTTCTCTGGAAAATGAAGGATAGTAGAATTTTTTCTTTCTTTCTTTTTTTTTTTTTTTTGTCTTTTTGTCTTTTTCCATGTCCAGCAACGGATCGCAACCCTCANAACAAAAATCTTTAAATATGGTTAAATAAAGGTAGGCAAAATACACATTATGACCATCTTTTTGTGACTATGTGAATGGGGCATTTTGAAGGAGAAGGAAAATGGAGGAAGAAATGAACAGCTTGTAGACCTTTTGTTTTTCCAAACTAGTCTACAGAACAAAAAATTTCTATAGAAATAGAAAATTCACTCTTTAAAGAATAAAGAATTTTACAAGAGAAAATTTAAATTCTAGACAAGGAGAGCAATGAAACATATTTCTTTCCTCAATTCTATTTCTGAAAATAAGAGGATTCAACAGGTAGACAGACAAAAATAAGTAAATCCAAGACAATGCTTAAAAGAAATCCTTAGCATACAGCAAAATCAGGTTTAGAAAGTTATTGTTAAACTTGAAAATGAGAGACTAAAAACAATAAGTTCATGCCTAAGATTTTCAACAAGGCCAAAAGTTAGACCTAAAATCAGGAGGAAAAAAAGAAAGATTTGATCACGTGACATAAAATTCACTACCAAATCTTAAAAGAAACATTTTCCGTTTAATAATTAGTAGCNTGCCTGTGCAACAGGGCGTGATGACAGATAATTAGCTGTGACATGCCCCTCGAGGGCAGTGAGATGAGAGCATTCATTTGGAAACCAGTGTACAACATGGTATCGCGAAGAGAGATTTCACTTCGGAGCAAGAATTCTTTTTCGCCAAAACATTTTTTAATGAGGTTGTTGGAAAGAGTCAGATTTTCATGATTTTATGAATAAAAGTTAAAATTTATTAAGCATTTACTACATTCTAGACATTGAGGGAATGTACTTAACATTCTTTATCTCTTTTAATGTTCTAAAAAACCCTGTTTTGTAGGAACCAGCCTTACTTTACTGATAAGAAAAGTGAGGCTTAAGGAAATAGTACAACTTGCTCAAGGACACATTGCTAATTAATAAGTAACAGATACAGAAAGCCAACCTACGGCTATAATATTGCCTATCACAAACAGATTTTATTTAAAGGGAATTTTCTGGAAGGCCCTTTCTCCGTTGTATTATTATTATTATTTTCTGTTCTTTCGGTTTATTTGG